AACCTTTCCAGGAAAATTTGCCAAAAAAGTTACCAATAACAGTCAATGATGTGTGTTTTCAATTTGGATCGGAAAATTGCAACAGAACTTCAAACTTTAGAACGAAAATATTGAATTGCTTGAAGACCGTACATAGTAGTATTTTTAAACGATGTTTTATCGTTCTGTTGTTGTTTATAAAGTACCTTTCTTGTAGAGGCCTAGATGGAGTGGCCCTCTAAGCAAAATTAGGCTACAGCACACAGGAAATTAGTCTTGTATTTGTAGCTGGGTTTCTTATGAACCGAAGGAATTATCATGGCGGGGTTCCGGTTGCAGAATTGTTCTGTTATGTTTATCTACCAAGAAGTCTTTGAAAGCAATGTTATAGTGAGGACTGTGAATCGAATAAAAAGGACATCGGGTATTATCACTGTAAATTTTGGAACTATGTTGGCTATACACAATCTTGAACGGAAAAATATTTTACGCCTGGGCCTTACGTATGCCCCCCCCCCATGGCCCCCTTCGTCAGAGGCCCTGTAACAACCCCTGCTTGGAGCGGAGTTATCCAGATTTACCCCCACTCCTGTAAGTCTTTGATTGTAAAGAAAGGCAAAGTATTCACACTCTTCATTTCTAGATTTATCCCCGCCCCCTTATTTCTGTCGCTGACGCACAAATTAGCCAGTTTAGTTTATTATTTAAACTCTAAAATAATTTGAAATTTGCATAGTGTTCTTGGTTATTTGAAACATGCTAATTTAAACAACTGGCAAGAAAAAGGCAGGGACAGAACTGAAACCCTTGCTCATTTAAACATGTCATAGCCGGTAGATTTTTGGAACTATAAAAGCCCAGGAAAGCAGTTGATTTCGGAAGCACTCGTGTTTACCAATAAAGAACAAACCTTCAAGATAATCAAAGATTCCACGACATACTTGCTTAATTGCAGCTATGAAGAGGCTGGCATACACTTGATATTCCATACTTGCCTCATCGATAAAAATTTATTAGTTGTCAAAGGACACTATTGTAGTTTTCTGCTTATTGTGTGAAAACCCTTCTAAGAAATATTCCTTAAAGATTGGCAACGAGAAGTACGTTAATTTTGGAAAGTCGTATCTTACCTGGGCTTAGATAGTTCCAAAAATCTACCGGCTATTCAAGCAGCTATTGGCTGCGAAATAACACCGGGAATGTTTGTTTTAAGGAAATGAGGACCAGGGCGTGGGAAATAACGGTGATCAGCTTGAAGCAGACGATGATGAGTGGAACTTTAATAGGTCAAATTGTGGCTGTGCAGGAACAATGAACTATTAATAAATAAGTTATAATTGTACGATCTCACCGAGCTTTATCTTTATGATCTTGATTCTTGTTACACGCTACCTTAGGCCATCGACACAATGAAAACAAATTTAATGTGTTTTTGTGTGTCTTTTCTCCAGCGAAATGAAAACTCACTAACTAAAAATCCATTGGAAAGGTATATACATAAGCGGTGATTTATTACGTAAAATAAATAAGGTAGCGTGGGAAAGGAAGGGCTAGGCTAAGTGTGAATAGTTTATGAATTGAGATTTAGGTAGATGTGTAGGGTTGATGAGGGCCTAAACAAAAGAGAGGAAATGTTGACATAGTGATATGCTCGTAGAGTGTAGTGATGAGGTAGTGATGTGAAGAAATTACTGTAGGTGAAATAAACAAAGTAAAAATGGATGGCGATAGGTGAGGAAAAATTAGAATGAATGGAATCACTACATAGCTCCCCCCCTAGAATGCAAGCGAGGAGAAGCATTCGATACAAGAAATGTAGATAAAAATTAATATAAAAATTATGAAATTGTTCAAATGTTTGGTATATGAAGTTCGAATTGTAAAACAGCAAGCAAGCAATATTCAAGTCTGTCTGGAAAATGGACTCTTCTTCCGGAGCGAGTTGTTCGGCTTGGTGATGATGTAGAAGGAGTAGTAATTGGAGCAGGTGGAGCGGATGAAGGTGCTGGTGCTGTTTTAACTGCAGGTGGAGGAAGTATGTCTGTGTCGAGGTATGCTGGTTTTAAGCGATCTATGCTGACAGTTTGTTCTTTTCCATGGATGAAAATAGTAAAATGCTTGGTATGGCGACGAAGAATTTTAAATGGTCCGGTGTATGGAGGCTCAAGTGGTTTGCGAACAGCATCGGTGCGGACGAAAACATGGGTGCAGGTATGGAGATCTTTTGGAACATGCGATGTGGTGATTTGAGGACGTGGTGAAATTGGTTTGAGCGATTGCATGGCGGATTGGAGACGATCTGCATAGAGTGTTGGGTCCAAATCATTTGTTGTAGATGCTGGAGTGATGAGTTGGCCAGGTAGACGAAGAGATGTGCCAAAGACGAGCTGAGATGGCGTGCAAGCAAGGTCGGCTTTGACTGTGTTACGGATGCTGAGGAGAATAAGTGGGAGAATTTCTGTCCATCTTGAAGAGTCAGGGTAGGCTTTGAGTGAAGATTTAAGTTGACGATGAAAGCGTTCGATCATTCCGTTGGCACATGGATGGTAGGCAGTGGTGCGAATGCGTTCGATTCCAAGGAAAGATGAAAGTTTGGTAAAGAGGGAAGATTCGAACTGAGCACCGCGGTCGGTTGTGATCGTAGACGGAACACCAAAGGAAGAAATCCACTTTGAGAGGAAGGCACGAGCAATTGATTCAGCTGTGATATCGATGAGTGGAATGGCTTGTGGCCAGCGAGTGAAACGATCAATTATGGTGAGCAGGTATCTGTATCATTGTGATGGTGGAAGTGGGCCAACGATGTCAATGTGTAGGTGGTCAAAGCGTGCGTCAGGTGTAAGAAACGTTCCAAGTGGAGTGGTGGTGTGGCGATGAATTTTTGCTTGTTGGCACTTTTGACAGGAACGGGTCCACTCAGGAATGTCTTTGTTGATGCCGGGCCAGACAAAACGTTCTGTAATCAGGTGTTGAGTAGCACGAATACCTGGGTGAGACAGAGAATGGAGGCTGTGGAAGACAAGTCGGCGGAAAGATGGTGGAACATACGGCCTTGGTGAATCGGTTGAAGTGTCACAGAGGATGGTACCAGAGGAAATGGCAATGGGACATCTTTGAGACAAAGAGATGACGTACTGTTCAAACGTGGAAGTTCTGGATCTTCTTGTTGTGCTTTGGCGAGGAGAGCAAAATCGATCGAGGTATTGCAATGAATAGCGTTGATATCCATGCGGGATAAAGCATCAGCTACTGGATTGTTGGATCCCTGGATATGGCGAATGTCGTTGGTGAACTGTGAGACATAATCCAGGTGACGTGTTTCTCGTGGTGAGTAGCGATCTGGTGAAGATGATAGGGCATGGGCATGGGTTTGTGGTCTGTCAAGACATAGAATTCACGTCCCTCAAGGTAGTGACGAAAGTGGCGGATGGAGAGATAAATTGCCAGAAGTTCGCGGCCAAAGGTGCTGTATTTGACTTCAGCTGGTTGAAGGCGTTTTGAAAAGAAGGAGATTGGTTGCCAGTGACCTTGAATTTGTTGCTGTAGAACACCCCCGACTGCGACATTAGAAGCATCTACCATAAGGCAATACGGTGCTTCTGAAGACGGGTGGTTGAGCAGTGTGGCTTTGGCAAGTGCTGACTTGATGGTGTTAAAGGCAGATGTGGCAGTGTCAGTGAGCTGGAATGACTTTTTGGAATGTTTGCCAGAGAGAAGATCCGTTAGAGGTTGCAATATTGCGGCGCAATTTGGAATGAACCGTCGGTAGAAATTGATTAGACCCAAGAATTCTCGGAGTTTCCGGGTTGAAGTTGGTGGCTGATAATCCTGGATGGCTTGGACTTTGGTAGGAAGCGGAGAAATTCCATCTGCTGAGACGTGGTGTCCAAGAAAATCGAGGGAAAAAACTGCAAATGTGCATTTGGCAGGATTTATGGTGATACCAAACTCTGAGAGTCGTGTGAAGAGAAGTGCCAGATGGTGAAGATGTTCAGCTTCCAAATGGCTGGCAATCAGGAGGTCGTCCATGTAAGCATATACAAAATCAAGGCCTCGGAGAACTTCATCGATGAATCGTTGGAATGTTTGAGCAGCGTTCCGCAAACCAAAAGGCATACGGGTGAATTCAAACAAACCAAATGGAGTTGAAATAGCGGTTTTTGGAATATCATCTGGATGAACTGGAATCTGATGGTAGGCTTTAACAAGGTCGATTTTAGAGAAGATTGTTTATCCATGAAGAGATGCAGAAAAGTCTTGAATGTGAGGAATTGGATAACGATCAGGAACTGTGATGCGGTTGAGAGAGCGATAATCACCACAAGGACGCCAGTCACCAGGTGTTGGCTTGGGTACCATGTGAAGTGGCGAAGACCAGTTGCTTGAGGAAGGACGTATGATACCAAGTTGGAGCATCTGGTCGAATTCGGCTTTTGCCACTTTGAATCTGTCTGGAGGAAGACGTCGGGGGCGGCAGAAAGCAGGAGGACCACGGGTGGTGATGTGGTGTGTTATATTATGTTTGACGGCAGTATCTTTGTAGGATGCACATGTTATATCTGGAAACTTTGCAAGGAGATTCTGGTAGGGTGTTGCAACTTCAGGAAGACAAAACATAGGGCGGGGTGAAGGATGTGAAGATTTTATGCCATTGATGGTCAAATTTGTAGTGGTGTCGATGAGTCTGCAATTTCTGATATCCACCTTAAGACCAAAGTGTGCGAGGAAATCTGCACCAAGAATTGGCAAAGGGACATCAGCAAGGACAAAAATCCAACGGTATGCACGGCGTAGTCCGACATCTATGGTCATAGATTTTTCGCCATATGTTTGGATGGTTGTCTTGTTGACAGCCTGCAGGGTGAATGATGAAGACAAAGGATGTCGTTTGACAGCAGGTGTTGGCGGGAGAACACTGACGTCGGCGCCTGTATCCACCAAGAAACGTGTACCAGTGGTACGGTCGGTGACATAGAAGAGGCGACTGTGGTTGTTGAGGGGGCCAGTGGGACTTGTCGCCGCTAGTCGCTGGCTTGATAGTTTTCCGACTGCTGGGTGGAGTTGTTAGCTGTGAAGGAGCATGGCATTGTACAGTGGTGGGCATTTGATCCAAATTGGCGATGGTACCAACATATTGAGCTTTGTGGGCGGGTGGCACTGGCATCTCGGCGATGAGTGGAGGATTGTGAAGTTGCTGGACTGCGACCACGTGAGCGAGAACGAGAGTATGATCGAGTACATGGCTGGAATCGACCTTGAGTGACAAGTGTAGCCAGTTGAGTTGTCAGGCTGTTGACTTGGTTGCGGAGGTCGTAGATTTCTTTTGCTACGGAGGAGTCCACTGGAGATGGCGAGATGCTGGCGATGGAGGGCTGTGGAGGAGCAACTTCAAGAATCTTGTCAGCTAGCAGGGCGAGTTCGTCGAGTTGAACGGTGTCAGGGGTCGAGGCCAAGATCAGCTGAATGTTTTGTGGCAAACGTTGGAGAAAAAGTCGTTTTAAAATGCCATTTTCCAAGTTGTTATCACCAAGGAGTTGACGCATTCGTCGCAGCAGTTGGGAAGGTTTTCTGTCACCAAGTTCTTCAGATATGAGTAGTTGGTTGAACCGCTTTTGTTCGGAAGCCGAAGTTCCTTTGATCAGTTCAGACTTCAAAACTTCATAAGGATTTGTAGGAAGCGGTGAAATTAAAATGTCCCTTATTTCTTGAGCAATGTCTGGCTGAAGCGAAGATATCACGTAGGCAAATTTTGTTGACTGTGAGGTGATGTTGCGGGTTAGAAATTGTGCTTCGACTTGAGCAAACCAGACAATCGGATCGTTAGGCCAGTATGGAGGAAGTTTCAAAGCAAAAGCGTGGACAGTAGGCGATGAAGTAGAAGCAGGCGATGTTGATGTGGATGCAGCGGCAGTGGATGGTGAATCGTTGTTCATGGTGATGTTAAAATGGCAATGAAAATGGCGTGGAATGAATGGGCAAAATAACACCAAATATGAACAAGTAAGAATCCAAGAATAAACGGCGATAAAATGGAAATAAACAGCAAAAACAACGTCGTGGTTACCAATTTAATAGGTCAAATTGTGGCTGTGCAGGAATAATGACTTATTAATAAATAAGTTGTAATTGTACGATCTCACCGATCTTTATCTTTATGATCTTGATACTTGTTACACGCTGCCTTAGGCCATCGACACACTGAAAACAAATTTGATGTGTTTTTGTGTGTCTTTTCTCCAGCGAAATGAAAACTAACTAACTCAAAATCTATTGGAAAGGTATATACATAAGCGGTGATTTATTACGTAAAATAAATGAGGTAGCGTGGGAAAGAAAGGGCTAGGCTAAATGTGAATAGTTTATGAATTGAGATTTAGGTAGATGTGTAGGGTTGATGAGGGCCTAAACAAAAGAGAGGAAATGTTGACATAGGATGTGATGTGAAGAAATTACTGTAGGTAAAATAAACAAAGTAAAAATGGATGGCGATAGGTGAGGAAAAATTAGAATGAATGGAATCACTACAATGTTATCTTACATGAAGCAGTAGTTTTAGCATTCTTACATGAAGTAGTAACTGGAGCGGTTCATTGATTATACTCACTTGGACGAGAAGACGTGTCTTATCTTTACAGTACTCTTGGAGAACATAACATTTGGTATCAAATCTGCCCCCGGATACTTTCAACAGATTATGGATCAGCTCACCGTGGACCTTCCTGGTGTGGCTACCTATCTGGACGACATCCTTGTAAGCTATTGTAGAACTAGCTACAATAGCAGAGCCTTTGTACAACCTGACCAAGAAGAGGGTCAAGTGGAAATGGCAACAAGAACACCAAAAGTCTTTTTAACGTTTGAAAGACTTGCTTTCTTTAGAGAATGTCCTGGTTCATTTTGAAGAGAAGCACACCCTAGATTGTATAACAAGGTTGCTCACTACTTTCTTTAGCAAGCTAATTTGCATTTCTTCACTTACAAAGAAAACTACTACAGTGCCACAATGGGTACTTTCGTGCCCGGATCTTCAAGCTCTACCCCAACCCTGTTTTTGTCCAGGAACTTTATAAGCGCTCCAGCAGCTCTTACCTATGGAAAAAGAAAACCTTCAAATGCTTCATAAGAAAAAAAAAATGCTTCAAACGTTGGAATTGGGGCCGTATTATTTCATCGTTTTCCAGATGGAAGCGAGCGCCCAATTGCCATTGTCTCCAAAACTCACACAGAGAGTCAAAGGAACTATAGCCAAATCCAAAAAGAAGCACTGTCAATTGTGTTTAGATTGAAGAAGTTCTACCAGTACCTATTTGGACGGACATTTGTACTGGTCACAGATCATCGACCACTTTTAGCCTTATTTGGGCCAGGAAAAGATGTTCCTCTAATGGCTGCTAACCGACTGGCTCGTTGGGCTCTAATGTTAAGCCAATTCAACTGCAAGATTGAATTCAGGAAGACTAAGAATGATGCTAATTCTGACGCTCTCAGTCGTCTACCTCAGCAGGAAGATTCACAATTTGATGAGGAGGAAAGTGTAGATGACACATTAATGGTCTGCCAGATACAGACAATCGACAAGAAAGTCACTCCAGCAGAACAAGGTTCTCTTGCAAGAGAGTCAGCAAAGGATCCAATAATCTCAATGGTAATGACTGTTTGTGATTGTTATTGTTATTGATAGTGATTGTTAAAACTGTCACACATTCGCTGTTGGAATGATCACTTGTTTCAGGTGGTGGCAGAGGGCTTGCAGGCGTAGAATGGCCTGCTTGGCTTCCCAAACTTTGCCTATCTGGGAGCAATCAAGTGTTGGCAGGTCTTCAAACTGTTCTACAAACCAAGCGAGATGGGCGAATTCATTTTTTTTAAACAACTGGCATCACCAGATTCACCATAATCTGATTTAAGTTTTTTTATGTCTCGAACATTGCGTCATTTCCCTTGGCAGTTCTTCACAAGACACAACTTGGCAGTCCTTCAAGTCCTAGTGACTTCGTGATTACCATCCATGCCAATTCTTTAGCATTCTTGTTTCAGTATAGTGCATGGCCATTTTTCCATACAACTTCTTTATCTTGTACGACATCTATCAGCGCTTGACCCTATCTAGACTAGGCTTTTTGAAACTTTCAGGAGACTCGGAGGGGGGGGGGGCACAAAGTGCCCCCTCTCTAATTTCTTTTTTCCTATAGCTAGGACAATGAACTTTGTTTGGATGGTACTCTATCTATTGTCCACATTTTAGTACTTTTGTTCAATTTTAAAGTCACGTGGTTTAACGATGACGTCATCATAATGGTGGCCGGGTGGAGCCAAAATTTACAAAATTTTAGAAAATCTTAAAATATTCATAAATTCCAAAGCATCGGGCTGACACAATTTTAATGCTTTTTCTCAAAATTATTAACGTTCCAAAACAAACACTCAACATATTTTAAAAAATCTTTTGGTGGTACAAAACTTGTAAATGGCTTTGAAAAAAGCAAACATTTAGTAAACTAAAGCTTTTGATCTGACACTCTTCAAAGTTTAAAACGTCAGAACATAGATCGAAAACTCTACGCTAAGAAATATATATACCCAGTTGTAGATCAAAATAGGCCAATCAGAAACACGAGCACATGACTGTAAAGGTTGACCAATCAGTGCCGCTTGCGTATTAGAATGTTACCAGTGGAGTCCTAAGGTGAAAATGAACTCGTTTATTATGTTTAGTTTCCGAAGATAATATTTGGAATGCCTCTCTGACTTTTTTATCATATTAATTATATTTTGTACTTGAAATGTTTTTAGATTGTTTTGAAACAAAGTGATCAAAATTTTTAAATCTATCATCAATTGCAAGTCCAAGCCAGTCTGCCGCTGGAGACTTCAGGCCTCTGGTAGACATGTTTTTTACGAGTACGAACAAACTGTACCTATTTTCCCCAATAAATACCCAGGCATTTATTCATTTTTTGAATACGCTAGATATATGCAATGTTTCAAATAAAGGCCACCCTATGAACAGGTGGGTATTTATTAGAAGAAATACAACACTTCGTGCCTGAAACTAGTTTGTGTTATCACCTATTTTCTTTTAAATAAAAGTATATTTTTATCTAATTTGAAATTTAAAATAGATATTTTTGTCAATAGTCTAAACTGCCAATCTTTTTTTCTTGGCAGACAGAAAAAACTCAAAGTTTATGTTGTTCCCACTGTGGAAAAAGTTATAAAAGCAAAGGAGGGCTGAAAAACATCAGGATCTGAAACATACTGAAATAACAGGAACAGAGGCTGAAGGAGATACCATAAGTTTATATAGTGTGACAATTAAATCTTCTATTGAAGAAGCAAAAGAAGATATAAGCAAATATGAGTGTTTTCCTGACAAAATCCGTGGTATTGCAGATGTTACAGAAGATGTGAACAATTTCTTGAAAGAAGAAATTCTGAAAATTTATCAGTCCTTGAAAAGAAACGGAGATGCAGAAAAAATTTATTCTGCATTTTATTCTGTTATTGTCAAAAATGCCAAAAAATAATTCAGCCAGTTGGAAATCACAACTTGCTGATAAAATATTGGCATTCTATAAGAAACCTGTTCAGCAACCTGTTGTGGTCAAGCCAATTTCAGAACGTGAATTTGATGGGCTGCAATACCTAGCTGGCTTTGTAATTCACTCACTGGTCAGGAAAAATAACAGAAAAACTGAACTAAATCTAAATCTGCTGTCCAGGGTGTGCTTTTATTGCTGAATTCCTGCCAAAGTGATGACATTAGCACTCAGAGATTGATCCAATGCCAATCTAAAGGTGGTTTGTGGGGAGTTAGGAGGGAAGTTATTGAGTTATTCAAACTTGTTGAAGAAGAATTTAGAAAAAGAACACAGAGCCATGTGGTGTCCATTACCTGCCAAGAAATAACGCAAAAATTAATAAAGCACATTGACATAACAAGTTTGTTCAATACCATCAAAGAGTATGATGCACACACCTTGGAAAAAGAAACAAGTTTAAGCCTACTGGAGAATATGATCAAATTATACCTACGAGTGAGAGTCTTCTCTATAACAAAAACAAAAACACAACTGGAGAGAAAACGAGTAAGAGGATTATGCAAAGGTATAAAGAAGTCATCAGACAAAGATATTACAGGTGTTTAACAAAGTGCAAAGATAAAATCAAAGTCAAGTTACTTTTTTCTCACAGCAAACAGGCAGATAAATAAAATTAACTGCTTTCCCAACACACACAATTATATGTATCTGTAAATGTTTTATGGTTCTTATTTATAAATTAGTCTATGTATCACAAATACATGATATCTTTTTTATGTTCAGAAACTTCCCTGAATTGTATTCCAAAATAAGTTGTTACTACTATATTTCCAGTCACTAGATCATAGAATTGGCATTAATAAAATAATTCATAATGAAATAAAAAAGGATGGGTGTTTATCAGAGGTTGTCATTTACAAAAATGTGGGAATTTATTCAGAAAAATAGTACTTTTGTAAAAATAAATTACTGAAGCGTCAATTTGATCTAAGAACCACTTTTTATGATCTAAGAACCACTTTGCAAGAAGATCCTCAGTGAAAATAGTTCTGTGTTGGGAAGTTAAAAAAATTATTGTTACATCATTGAATTTTAAGATAAATCAATTGCTGAAAAATATAAATATAGTTAGGAAAAACTATATAAATGTATGTATGTTTTATCTACTTTATTTTTGCTTTGCTAAAGGAGAGTTGTCTACTGTTGACCAAGAAACTTGCCTTTTTTGCTTATGTCCGCCACTTGTATTCCCGGTAACTGGTGTCACTGACCTTTGAATTCTTATTGTATTTTCGTTATAACCAAACTGCCATAAATTTGGGTTATCATTGCATCACCCAAACTACACTATCTACGGAAATGCTCCTCAACAACATCCTGATTGAATCTGTTTGTGAGAACAATAATAATAATAATAAAAATATAAATATTTATACAGGCTGAAACCTTTTAAGTGCCAAAGGCAATGTTATCAATAAGGGCCCTGTTCTAAATAAAAGTATTTACATGGTTAAAAATGAAAAGTAATTACAAGTTAAAAAATGAAAGTAATAAAGGGTAAAACTCGTTTTTAGTGGATCTGAAGTAAACTAGTTGCTGAGGAAATGTTCTTTTAATCGATTCTTGAATTGAGCAATCGATCTTAATTGGCGGATGTAAATTGGGATGTCATTGAAGCAAGAAGGGCTTTGGAAACGAAATGACTTTTTAGCAGCCTCCGTCCTGACCTTTGGAAGGCGGAGGGTTTATGAACTTCCTCTCGTGTTATAATTGTGGTCCACTTTCTGGATATATGATGCAAGATTTGGGATGGCAGTTTCTTGCAGGCATTTAAAGATCTCTATCACTGCCTTGAATTTCTCATGATCTTGAATGCTCATGAGCCTACATTCTTTGCTGTCCTTTGGCTGTTTGTGGATGATCTTAATTGCGCTCCTTTGCAATCGTTCATATACGTTTGCCATCGTGTCAGACACTACGAGCACAGGAGTTGAACAATATAATATTTTAGGGAGAACAATAGCTTTGTAGACTGATTCAGCTGCAAATGTTGATAGCAAATGTCTTATTTTCTTCAAGAGCCTCAATCGAACAGCCACGTTCTTTAGAGTCTTTGAAGATGGTCATTCATGTCAAGTGATGGATCCATTGTCACTCCCAAATACTTATATCTACTTACAAAATTAATGAGCTGTTCTTTGTATGAGACTTTGTGAGTAAAGTCTTTCTGCGGTTCCAAACAGCATTGATTCAGTTTTTCTCTTTTTTCAAGTTTATTATCAATCTGTTATTGTCTAGCCATTTAGCAATGTTTGTCATCTCAGCAGTTAAAATCTTCTCTATAACGATAACATTTTTGTGAGAAAACGTTATCACTGTATCATCAGTATAAATTTCGATGTCACAATCTTTACACTCATTGTCAAATCATTTATATGGATAAAAAATAACAAGGGTCCAAGAATTGAGCCTTGGGGTACTCCATAATTAACAACTCGCACAATACGAGCCAAAAGAGTGGAGACTGTTCATTGACAGTAGCAAGCGATCGCAAAAATGTGTTTTGTTGCACAATGGCAACCATTTCAATTCTGTGCCACTCGGATACTCAACAACACTCAAAAAGAATCATGACGCTGTAAAATATGTTTTACAGAAAATACGTTATGATCAGCATGAGTGGTTTATTTATGTTGACCTGAAGATGGTGAACATTTTGTTGGGACAACAGTCTGGGTTTACAAAGTATTCATGTTTCCTGTGTATGTGGGACAGTAGGGACCGATCACAACATATTTAATGAGTGGCCTGTACGGGAGGAAGTGTTGCTATGCAGAGCAAGGAACATCATCAACGAGCCACTGGTGAACAGAAACAGGATCCTATTCCCACCTCTGCACATCAAACTTGGCTCGATCAAGCAGTTCACAAAAGCTCTGGACAAGGATGGTTCCTGCTTTAAATACTTGTGGCAAGCTTTTCCAGGTTTGACAATAGAGAAATTGAAAGCTGAGATATTTGACGTTCCACAAATTCGTCAGCTCTTAAGAGATCCTGAATTTGAAAATCCAATGAGCAAAATGGAGCATGAGGCGTGGAAAACGTTTGTTCATGTTGTGAAGAACTTTCTTGGCAATAATAAGGCAAGAAAGTACAAAGAGCTTGTCAATAAAATGCTCATTGCTTATGAAAATCTTGGATGCAACATGAGCATCAAAATGCACTACCTGTTCTCGCATTTGGATTGGTTTCCTGAGAATCTTGGATCAATGAGTGACGAGCAGGGGGAAGGATTCCATCAGGATATGAAAGAGATGGAGACCAGGTATCAAGGACGCTGGGATGCAGTTATGATGGCTGATTACTGCTGGACTCTAAAGAGAGACATCCCTGCTGCTGATCATTCCAGAACATCAAAGAAGCGCAAGTTCAAATCCTGAATTTTGAACAATTATAACTTAACAGAGTTGTTCTTGCATAAATAAAAATACATACTGATCGAGTTTTGGATCATTCATTTCATAAAATCTGCTAGAAATGAATACTTCAATCAATATTTGATCGATTCAATCGATTTTGGATCAGAGGACCTAGAATAAATCAATCAATATTTTCCAATCAAGTTAGCACCTGACCTGATACAGAAAAACGGAAATCATTTTTGGATTCAGCGTTGCAAAAATGTTCTAAATCAGATGAAAAATCCTAGACACCTTGAAAAATATTTTTTCAAGGTGTAACCCAGTGTAATTTATATGGAAGATCCAGAATCTTGGAAGCAAAATCAACAAATCAAATTATTTGAAAAAATAACAGCTATACTTATGGCCTTCTTCCATGTTTTTTTCATTTTCCATATTTGTTTTTTTCTCTATGCTCTAAATCTTTTCATTCCACTTTTTCTAATTGTGTAACAAGAAACAGCTGAAGTGTATATCTTTTTTCGTTGTAGCTGGGACAAGAATTTTGTTTTATTTATTGGTTTTTATTTCAAAGTATGATGAAAAATTGTTTTAGTTGAAAATGGCTTTGAAAAAGTAAATATTTTGAGCCATACTTAGATGGTTTTTCATTACATAAGGGAACAAATTCAAGAAAAGACCCTTTCAGAGTGTGGTTGAGTTTTTTCAAGTCTCTCCTTTCAAAAGATATACAGTTTGCTGCATCCACTGCAACTGCAACCAAGGCAACTAAACAAACAATATTTGAAGTACTTGGGATAGATGCAGTTAAAACATTTGCCCTAATGAAACCAAATTTGAAATTCGATGTGGAGTACATTAGGTATGATATGCCACTAGAGTTTTTGCTCCAATGTTATTGCAATTGAAAGGTATAGGACACAAAGTGTGAAAACACTTATATTTTCATAAGAAGGAGGCTCCAAAGGAAAAGGGTGGTCCGGCTCCCTAAGAGATTGAATTCATGAAGGAATAGAAACGTTTTTGCATGGCGACAGAGAAGAAAACATTTTAAAGAAATACTGAGAGCAATGATCATTGGAAAAGGAAGACAGCAGAGTCGAGCTTGTTTGGAGAACGCGTTTGACATATCCCCAAAAACTCTTTGAATTTGAGTTATCGTGATTTGAGATGTTTTTAACTACGGTAGAAGCAGATGAGTTAAGTCGTTGTCGTAAGAGCCATGAAACGTATTTAATTTCAATGACAAGTGCGCCGTTTCTTTTCAATAACTGTAGTTCTTTTTTCAATTTTTTGGTAGCATGATCTTGATATTTTGCAGCAAGATCTTCATTTACTTCTTCAACAAATCCGCAAGTATCTATGGAATAATTATAAATTGCTTGATTCATTGACTGTATGGATTGTTCAATTGAGGACAGGTCCATGGGGTTGTTAAAAAAAGTATTTGAAGTATTCGTTAGCGACAGTCCACTCTTCGTTTGACCTTGGAAGACAAATGTCAGGTTTCAGTTCAAAATATTCATTCAAAGAGATATCTGCGGGTACAATCTCATTGTCTAGGGTTTCCTCCGATACCAGTTCGAAAGTGTCGTCACTTTGGAAACCGCTAATGACTCAACATCTCCTTTGATGCATTTTCAATCCTTTCATCCCCCTGCATTCTTTACCACAGGCGCATTTGACAATTCTTTTGTTGATGACAGACGCGCTTTTATTTTCTATTTCAATAAATGGAATGTTAATTGATCCAGACGGGCTACTGTCATTGCTGTCCAACGGTCGCTTGCACCTCCAAGTATGGCGGCTTAAGGCCTGAAATTCTTTATCGCAGAACAAACAAATTGCGAAAAACATATACTTTGTTGACACAATGAAAAAAAGTAGTATTTGAATCCGTCAATGTAAGTATCCAGGCAGTTAAATAGCTATAAAGCGAGAGCCGTGCACGATGGCATCTGTGCGCCAAAGCTCAATGACCATAATAAAAATAATAATAATAATGGAAACTTTTCATTTTGAATTCCTTTAAAAACTACAATTACAAATCTCACTATTACAAGGTAATTTGTTACTGGCTAGCCTGTGTTTACAAAATAAAAACTATTACATCGTAGTAATGTGAAAAGAAAAAAAAAATTAAAAAAAATAAAAGGGGAGTAGCTCTGGATTAGTCCAAGTTTTGTTTCTACAGCAGAATATATAGTATGTGGTGCAAATGAAGATGCTTGTAAGTTTGGAGATGAGGTAGCGTTTCTGTTGATGATCAATGGACAAAGAGTCACACATGTCGATGAATGAGCTGCAGGAGTCGCCAAAAATACCAAGTGAACTGATGGAAAGATTGACAAACGAGACTGACTTAAACTGACGTTTTAAGTCAGATACGAGGGTGGCATATTTCTCTAACTTTCTGACAGCATTGCAGTTGAGATTTGTTTCAAAGCCTATGGTTAGCTCTAAAACGTACTGACAGTTTTCCTTAGTTTTGAGAAGTAAGTCAGGGCGTAGTTGATATCCAGTTATGATAGAAGGGGAAAGAAAGCCTGGTAAATCTGTGTAGAGACAAGACCGATTTATTGCTTGGAAGTAAGTGGCTAGAAAGTGTAATGCAGAATTATGACGCCAAGTATAGCGGCCTTGGTCAAGGTACACTTTGCATCCAGCAACAACATGTAGAAGTGTTTGACTGATGTCAGATGTCAGATGTTTGACTAAAGCTGAATTCACACTGGACGCGTCACGGCACGGCGCGTCACTGAGCGTCATTGAGCGTCACATCAAGTACTTTTTCATGCTATTCACACACAAAGCGTCACGAAGTGTCGCGTCATGCGTTTTTAGTTAGATAAAATGGCTTCCTATCAGCAAGATGTGCTTATTGCTCTCGCATTACAAAACCAAGCTATTGCTTTAACGTTATTAAGAGAAAGAAAGAAACGGCGTTCGGTTTGGGTAAGAAAATTATGGAAGCAGCGTGAACGTCAGGGGCATTATGATAACCTGATTCAAGAAATGAGGGTACAAGACCATTCAATGTACTTCAATTATTTCCGAATGCTTCCTTCGACATTTGATGATTTGCTTGGACTTGTAGGCCCATCTTTGGTCAGAAAGACAACAAACTTACGGAAGCCGTTGCCTCCACAGTTAAGAATGGCAGTAGCTTTACGATACCTGGCAACTGGAGAATCTCAAGCTTCACTTTCATTCAATTACAGAATCGGGAGGTCTACAGTATGCCAAATACTTGACGAGGTGCCAGAAAAAATTTGTGAAGCACTGAGCCCTCTTTCTGTGGCCCAACCAAACACTCCTGAAAACTGGAAACGCCTGGCTGACGACTTTTGGAATTTGTGGGGTTTTCCTTTGTGTTTGGGGGCTATAGATGGCAGCACTGCGTAATTAACTGTCCTCCAAACTCAGGCAGTGCTTTCTTTAACTATAAAGGTACATTCAGTATAGTATTGATGGCAGTGGTTGATGCGAGTTATATGTTCACATTTGTTGACATTGGTAACTTTGGACGTCAATGTGACTCTAGCGTCTTCAACAATTCTCCTTTTGGTGAATCTTTGAATAAAGGACGCTTGAATATTCCAGTTCATGGCCCCTTGCCAAACACTGATACAAAAGCCAAGTATTGTTTTATAGGAGATGAAGCTTTTTCTTCAAAGATAATTTACTGCGTCCTTACCCTGGAAGAAACCTTGGAGAGAAATTACGCATCTTCAACTACCGACTCTCTCGAGCCAGGAGAGTGGTCGAGAACACTTTTGGGATCCTTTCAGCAAGATGGCGATTCCTAAGATCACCAATACAGGCTCACCCAGAAAAAGCCATTAAAAATGTTTTGGCATCGGCTGCTCTTCACAACTGGCTCAAGAAACATGAAGACACGCAGCAAGTTTACGGTCGTTTTTACTGCCCAGTAGGTTATACTGACTACGAAGATTCACATGGAATTCTTCACAAGGGCACTTGGCGAAATGAAGTGTCAGAATCTGGAGCTCTACAGAATATTGGCAAAATGGGAACAAATAACTATTCAAAAGCTGCAGAATATTATAGATCTTTGCTTGCAGATTATTTTCTTTCTCCTCAAGGTGAACTCCCATGGCAATATGATTATATTCGCAGAACTTCTTACGATCCAGTTTCTTAACAGAATATTATTTCTAATGTTTTTAATATTTTGATAACATGGTCAAGTTTCTAGAAATTAATCGATTTTTCTGAAAGAAGTTCTGCAACCTTTTATGTTATGAGGGGCCTTCTTAATTTAAAATTCAACTTTCTTGGATGAAGGGGTGTAACATATATAGAGAGGGGTTGAGGGGCCTATGACATCTTTCAGATTAGGGACCCTTTTTCCAAAGAGCTATTTGTTAGATAGAACAATTGGCTAGCCGTGATGGGCATCATTTTATTTTTTTCTTGCATTTTAAAGGGGATTGGCTACTTAGCATTAAACAGCATAGTATGTTTCGCATCATTTATTTGGTCATAAAGTGATGGTTTGTAGCCCCCATCCTAGAATTATGTATTTCAAGGAGTTAGAAAGGCAGAAACTTTGTAAAAGTAAGACTACTGTAGCTGATTTTCAAGGCTTCATTTGTGCATCATATTTTGCTAAAAAAAATCTACTTGGAAACAAAATGTTTTTTTAACTTAAAAGAACTCTAGGATAAAAACTAAAAAATCGTGTTTCTACTTCAAACTAATTAAATAAAGTTCATTCTATGCTTGAAGGACAAGGATATTATAATGAACATTTGTGTATCCTATTTTTTAGAATCCCTCTCTTTGCAAGAAAATTGTAAACAAACAAATATTTATGTCTACTCACTGATTAAGTGAGTTGCGAATCAAAGTATGCTTTTTTAATCTTATCGGAAGGCACATTGACGCAATACTGTATTCAAAATAGATGTGAACAACGTGAAGTCATGAGTCAATATTTAATTATTTGTCAACAATGATTGATACAAAGGAAATCAGGATTATAAAATTGCCACACCAAGCAGCCAGATTACTATGAGTCAGGAGTCTATTCTTGAGTGCTCCACCGTACTTCATGCAAAACTTGTTGAATCCTCAATTTCGCCAAACTTTTTTGATAGGCCGACAATTTTTTTAATTCTTTTCCTATACTTTGACCGTAAAGATCGTCTTCATCTGGCTCCTCTCTTTTGCTAGCCGATGAAATGAACTGATTGGTGTTTTCAATCACCTTCATCAAAAACTGGCTGTTGTCAGGGGTCTTTTCTTGTCTGGGGCGTTTGGGGTTTTTTGGTCGGGTACTTTCTCGTAGAGAGTCCAACTGAGCCACAGGAGATCCAGCTGCAGCTCTGTCATTTTTAGGCACAGCACTCTCGTAGGAAAGCGGAGTGGCTGGTAATTCTACAAAAGAATCCTCTGTGCAATCTTGGGTAACGGTACTATCCGAAATTTGGAATGCTGGCTCGTTACCTTTTCTTGCTTCGCCAATCAAATCATGCAGACATTCGGTGTCAATGGTGCTTTTGATTTTTGATGATTCCCGCTCTTGAAGAACAAAATTTCCCCTTGTTTCTCTATGTTTCATGAAGGGGGCAAGGAACAGCAACTGCTTGAAGAATGGCCATGTTGGTTCTATTGGTTCCCCACCAGCGCTCCCAGATGGCTTGTATTCCTTTCTCACTTTCATAAATCTGTCCCTTAAGCTTTTAAATGTTTTCCGAGCAAGGTTCATAACTAACAAAAAACAGTGTGTCAATGATGGATACTTTCAACTAGATATATTTTATAAGAACTATCCTACCACTTGATTGAAGCAAAACTTTTTTTAAAATTGCCGCTCAAAATTAAAAATATTTTCCTTCGTTTGAGATATAATATTGCTTAAAGATGAGCATTAACTTTCAAAATCGTGTTTAAATTGAACGAACTTGTTTAAAAAAACAGGTTTTCAAGTAATCAAAATTCTGTTGAGTAAAAAAACATCAAGAAAATACAAACCTTCGCCGAGTTCTTTTGCACTTTCATACCGTTCTTTAAAAATTTCTTGGCATACAGTCTTCCAGGCATTCTCTCGGACAATCTCATCCTTGTACTCTTTTTTGCTAGTATCGTACAAGCACGGTAATTTCCGAACAGCTTCGATCAGAAGTTCTTTGTTTATGTTTTTAGCTGCCATCTTTCTTGACTTAACTATTGTTCTGGAGCGTCACCGAGCGTCAAAGTTAAATAAATTTAACTTTCGTGACACATGGCTGCAAAAACGCGATGCGTGCGCATAGCAGCAATTAATGCAAACCATATTTGGTCAGCGTCATGACGCGCCGCGCCGTGACGCGTCCAGTGTGAATTCAGCTTAAGGTTCCATTTCAGCAAATTTTTCCGAGTTGGAAGAGTGTTGTTGAGATACTGATGGTAAAGTTAGAGATGTTACTAGGTAAATTGCTCTGTGTACTTGACCAAATACCGTTCAGCTTTTCCAGTGAATGTTTCTGTAGGAAGGTAATTGTAGCTCCCTAAGATGGTAAGTTTTGAGAGAGACGTTCTTTGTTGTCTGATTTGACAGCCTTTAATACCTCTTTAGTATTACGATAGATGTCGTATTGTAGGTTTGTGCCATGACTGGTGTTTTTCCATTGGGTTTGAATGTCAATATTAGAAGATTTTAGGGCATTGCGACAGACAGTTTGGCATTGCGTAAGTTTGATAGAAGGCAATTGTAGATTTAGGCCAAACTGATTTTTTGAGATGATTATTCCACTCAATGTTGCAGAAACAGGAAGATCAAGCCACTGGCGAATATAATTGGAAACAAGATTGTCTAGGTTTTGGACAACCAATGTCTTTGGTAGATCTGCAACAGTAAAATGCCATGAAACTTTAGACAGAACATAACGATGTTATAATAGCAGTTTGTTTTTAAGCTGGAGAGGTAAGTCGTCAATATCCTTCATAAGTGTAGAAAAAAGAGAAACGAGTTTAGATTTATGATCTTGGTTACTCATGTCAAAATAATAATGGAAACTTTTCATTTTGAATTCCAGTTAAAACTACAATTACAAATCTCACTATTACAAGGTAATTTGTAACTGGCTAGCCTGATTTTACAAAATAAGACTATTACAATCGTAGTAAATAGAAAAAAAAACGTTGAAAGGGGAGTAGCTCTGGGTTAGTCCATGTTGTGTTTCTACAGCAAAAAATGTAATAGGTGGTACGAATGGATATCGTAGAAAGCTTAGAAATGAGATATCGTTTGTGTTGATCATCAATGGAAAGAGAGTCACACATTTCAAGGAATGAGCTGCATGAGTCGCTGAAGATGCCAAGAGAGCTGATGGAGAGATTTACAAATATGACAGATTTGAACCTTGGTCTTAGATCTGAGACAAGGCGAGCATATTTTAAACGTTTCCTTTCTGCATTGCAGTTAAGGTTAGTTTCAAATCCTATCGTTAGTTCCAAAACATAAAGAATGTTTTCCTTTGTACGCAGAAGTAGATCTGGGTGCAGATTGTCTCCAGTTATGATAGTTTGGCATTGAGTGAATTTGACAGAAGGTAGCTGAAGATCGAGACCAAATTGATTTTTGGAAAGAACTATACTAGTTAAAGTAGCACTTATGGGAATAATAATAATAATGGAAACTTTTCATTTTCAATTCAATTAAAACTACAATTACAAATTTCACTATTACAAAGGTAATTTGCAATTGGCTAGCCTGGGTTTACAAAGAAAAAGACTATTACAAGCACAAACAAAAGAAATTAACAAAAAAAAGGAAAAAGTGTGTTCGTCATTGTTTGTTTTAGAAGTCGTCAGTAGCAGAGATCGTTAGAATTGAAGAAGTTCAGGATTATTCCAAGATTTATTTCTGCGGCAGAAAATGTAATAGGTAGTACGGATAGTTAAGTTGGATAGTTTGGAGATCATGAAGTGGAGATGATTCTCGCTGATATCTAGAGCGTTGCACATGTCGATGAAAGAGGAGCAAGAGAGACCAAAGATACCTAGGGAACTGATAGAAAGATTAACAAACATGATAGAAGAATAGGCTGAGCTTAGGCTGTGAATGAGATTCGAGTATTTCTCTCTTTTGCGGTTAGCATTAACATCCAAGTTAGTTTTGTATCCTACTATAAGCTCGAGTATGAATAGCTGATGATCAGAAGTGACTAGAAGTAGATCAGGACGGAAAGAGTCTCCTGTTATGATAGAGGGTGAGAGATAACCTGAAAGGTCTGTGTAAAGAGATCAATTAGGTATAGCTTTTAAAGATTGTGCTAGGAAGTTCAACGCAGAGTTATGGTGCCATGTGTAACGGCCTTCTTCGAGGTATGTTTTGCAGCCTGCAACAATGTGAAGTAACGTTTCTGGCATATGGCAAAAAGAGCAATCGGACGACTGAGTAATGTTCCACTTAGATAGGTTTTTTCGCGTGGCAAGGGAGTTGCTAAGATATTTGATAGTAAAACTGTAAATGTTTATGGGCATGTTGCTTTGAACCGTGGTCCATATTTTAGAGGCTATAGGAAGAGAGTGGTCAAAGATGAAGGAAAGGACGGTCCCTTGGGATACAAGATGGTTTTGAAGGCGCTCTTTATGTTCTGATCTAACAGCCTTCAATACTTCTCTAGTATTCATGTAAACATCATATTGGATGTTCATGCTCTGGCTGGTATTTTTCCACAAAGATTTGATGTTTTTGTTGGGAGAGGATTTCAGTGCATTACGACAAACAGTTTGACACTGCATGAATTTAACAGAAGGAAGAATCAAGTTTAGACCGAACTGGTTTTTTGACAGAATAATGCCACTTAAAGTAGCACTTATGGGTAAATCGAAGCAACGGCAGATAAATGCAGAAACTTGATTATCAAGGTTTCAACGATCCAGGTTTTTGATAGATCGGCTACTGTGAGGTGCCACGAAACTTGTGAGAGAAGATAGCTGTTATAAAGAAGCAGCTTATTCTTTGGATGGAGAGGTAAAGAATCATTTTGCGTTAGGAGTTCTGTGAAGATGGAGCTGAGCTTAGACATATGTTCTTGGTTGCTCATATTAAAGTCGAAGTGACGCCCAAGATACCTAAAATACTCTCCAGTTATGACAGGAGGGACCATTTCATTATTGATGAAGAGCTTTGGCTGATATTGTAGTGAGCGTGTTGAGAATTTTTTAATACCAAAGGTTGTGCATTTGTCTACTCTTATAATCATGTTAGACCATTGACACCATCTTGTAAAGCAGTTTAAAAGTAGCTGGTTTTCTTTCTCCCCGTTTGTAATGACTGCAGCATCGTCTGCAAACTGAAACCAGTGCTCTGGGGTAAACATACAGTCTGGTTGGCTATGGGGAGAGAAACCAAGTTGTTTGAATTATTCTTTATGTATTGAATGAAAGTGTTAAAGCACATGTTAAATAGAAGCGGACTGAGGCAATCACCTTGAAGAACTCCACGTTTAACAGGAATAGCAGGGGTAACAAATTTATCTGTGATAATAGAGGTTTTAAAATTAATGTAGAGACTTGAGATCAGGGACTGGATGTTTTCTCGTACGTGGTGATAAGACAGAACAGATTTAATTAGATTCTGATGAACCTCTCCGAAGGCATTTTTTAGATCCAATAATGTTATGACTAGAGACCGTTGTTTTTTTCGAGCTTTGTCTATTATATGGCTCATGATCGCAGTATGTTCTAGTGTACCCGATATCTGATGGGTAAAACCTTTTTGAATCTGATGTTCTATGAAACTATTTTGTTTGAGAAAATCAAATACAGAATCTCGCAGGAAAGATGTGAAGATTTTTAGTGGGACCGATTGGAGAGTGATAGGTCTGAAGTTTGATGGATCCTCTGTATCTCCTTTTTAGTGTATTAATATAGTGCAAGCTTTTTTCCATTCCGATGGGACATGTCCAGATAACCAGATTAAGCGAATCAAATCAGTTAAGAAAGAGCGAAGATAAGGACAGCGTTTGAAGCAAATCACTGATATTTTGTCAATTGAACAAGGAGAGCTAGAGGATTTCATGCGACGGATAATGGAGGTTATCTTTTGGTACGGAGGAGGATCTGAATGAAAAGGATGAGTAGGATTACTGAAGGAAGGAATCCAAGATGGAATGGGAAACTGTTTGTTTGGATGCTTAGCAGAGAGTGTTTCTATAAAGAATTGTTTGCAACGCTCTAGTGAGAACGATGGAAGAAGGGAAGGTTTCTTTTGTAGAAAGCGTTTAACATAACCCAAGAAATTTTTAGAAATAGAAAGATCATGGTCAAGTGTTTCGCAGGAAGTGATAGTAGATGTCTTCTTAGCAAGTTTGCTACGTAAGAGACGGGAGATGTATCTATAGTAATAATAATAATTTATTTGAAACATCTCATTTTCATTGAATACATTTTAAATTTACAATTATACGACTCGCTTTTACAGGCATCATATAATTGGCTTATCTGCATTACAATATTTAAAAGTCAATTAGTTCGGGGCTTAGCCATGGTTTGTTTCAACGACAGAAGATAGAGTAGGTGCAGCGGATAGAAATGTTCATGAGTTTCATCAAGATGGATTTAGTTTGATTTGAGTCAAAATTGAGTTGGTGTAGCATGTCAGAGAGAGAGGTAGATAAGGTTCCCAGAATGCCAAGGGCACTCATAGAAAGGTTAACAAAGGTAACACGTTTATAGGCAGGGCTCAGTTCCTTGATAAGGTCGCTATATTTCCTAGCTTTTCGAGTACTGTTTTCGTCGATGTTGCTTTCGAACCCAACAGTAAGCTCTAGCATGTAAAGGATTAGATCTTCAGTTATGAAGACAAGATCTGGTTGATAGGAGTGGCCTGTGATTAAAGAAGGTGATAGAAATGAAGGCAGGTCGGCGTAAAGTGAGCTATTTCTAGGTGTTGAAAGGATTTTAGCCAAATATAGAAGTACAGAATCATGTCTCCAGGTATACCTACCATGTTCAAGATAATTCTTGCAGCTAGAGACTATGTGCTGTAATGATTCTGATTGGAGACAGAAAGAGCAGGCAGATGACTGAGTAATTGACCATTTGCAGAGGTTTTTCCTAGTGGCAAGAGTGTTGTTTAGGTAATTGATGGTAAAGTTGTAAATGTTTTTTGGTAACTTTTGCTGGACACTAGACCAAAGTTGATTAGTTCCCTTAGGAACC